CGGGCGTTATCGCGGATCATGCGTTACCACGCTGCCGGAGCATGTACGTGGACGTTCCGTTGGCGTGGACACCATGATCCGGGTGTCGCAGTACCGCCTTGTATGCGTGCCACGTCATGAGGTTATCAAGGTCGTCGCGGCCGCATCGCTCGAAGCGCAAACGGTCGGCGGCCCGCGAGACAGAGCACAGTCGCGAGCTCATTGTCGTCGTCGTTGTCGTCGTCGTCGTCGTGGCATGGGAGGAGTTTCGAATCCGCTGGCGCCACATGGCCAGTGGTGCGAATTATCTGGTCGCTGCAACGTCACCCACCGATACCACCTGGTCGGCCAGATGGGCGCTTGACGTTGCACTTGGACGTGCGCTGCCGAAGATGACGACGATCATTTTAAGCTATCGTACCAAGGGATTAGTACCTACCACTAAAAGTAGCGAGCGCCAAGACGGTGCTCGAGTGGTTGTTGAACTGAGATGTCGGTATTTGAACCCTCGTCGTGCACGTCGAAGCATCGAACGTGGTGTCGTTGCATTACGACGTTGTGCGGTTCGCGGGTTGTCGACGCCTGCGCCTCCATTGCGCGCGTGTTTAGCTACACGATCCCACTCCGCCCCACCACCTGCCGTGATGACGCCGCCCAGTTCGTCCGCTGGCAAAGCTCGCTTCGCCATCATCGACCCACTCTCTTCTTCAACCATTGCAATGACATTCGAGGACGGGACAGAAAAGCGAGGCTTTTCGGATTCGAGTCCATCTCTTCTTCCATGAACGGCGTATCATTATCCAGTATCTTCAATACTTGTCCGACTGCAGGTGCGCACGCTTGAATTGCACGCGAAAAGCAGGATCCCAACACGTACAAAACACGCTGGCACGTAGCATTTGATCGTGAGTGATCACGGCCTGTCCCTCTTGTATGGACGTAGATTCGTGTGGCACTACATATTAGAAAGTGACGTGCGTAATACCAAGTGGATCTTGTTTACTATTGGCGTAGAGAGCCCTTGTACTCATACTACTAGTACAGCTCTACATGTATGTTAGTTACTGCATTGCTTGCTTCTGATGGCATGTATCGAGCTCGACGATGATGATCGTGCGTCGCTCCCACTCAAATCGTCGTCTGCTTCCAAGAACGGCAACGGCAATGTCGTCGACTGTGGCTACTCTCCAGGGCCCCAAGGCAAGCTCTCAAGTCTTCCACTTGGCGCGATTCTTGCTCCAGGCGGCGTAGCTAGGGTAAAGGATTTCGGTGCTCATGGTTGGCTGGTCGTACGGTACTGTCTGTAGCTGTCCACAGAGACGCCTCGCGCAGCTTTGTATGGCTCGGGGCGTGGGACTCGACAGCCTCGTTTTCAGATTTCGATGTAAACTTCTACTAATCACCACGACCGCTGTCCAACACCCACCCTGTCACCAGCTGGCGGCTTGAGAAGAGGCAACAACAACACGTGCGGAAAGCGACCTCAGAGTTCAATTGGCACCGACGTGCGCATCAGAAAGCCAACGATGTCAGCGACGACGACCGTCGACCCGCCAGCCACTGCTAATGTTAGTGTGTACCGCGGTCGCTGCAAGTACAAGAGCGGGCGGTGCCCAAACGAGCGCACGCTCAAGTACAACGGCGACATCCACACGCTCTGCGAGGAGCACCGCCAGCGCCACAACCAGATCCAGTGCAAGTCCGACACCAAAATCCGGTTTGTCAAGCGCCAGAAAGCACTTCTCAACAAGCTCACGGCCGCGTCGCCACAGAGCAGTACCACAAATAGCAAGCGACGTCCGCCGTCGGCCACTGTGACCCTGATCAAGCAAGAGCAACGTATGGACGAGATGGCACTGCAGACGCCGCCGAAGAAGCTCCAGCCACTCGAATTCACCGCGCCGTCCTTCGACTGGTCGGACGAAGAGACGTTCATCTTTACGAATCTCATGGGCGTCGCGACCGCGACCACCGAAGCCTTTGTGTTTAGCGTCTAGACGCACAAGCTGTTTATTTAACCTCCTGTAACCTGTACTACACCCAACCCTCCTGCCCAAGGGCGCCTGCCACACATCCCGACGTCCATGCAACCCAGGCCAATGAGGCTCACACTCCACGCACCTATAAGAGTCGAAGCTGCGGTGTCGACACGGCAATAGGATTCGGGTATGGCTCCCAGAAAGGCCAACCACGGTGCGAAGAAGCGACGGGGCGCGATGCTGGGACTAGGCGCGGTCAAAGCACTGTTACGCACGAGGAGTAGCCGCCGGTTTCTTGAGTCCTCGTGGCAAATGCAAGTAGCCCGCTACCTCAAGAAGGTGGACGACCAGCAGCAACGTTCCCAGCGCCTTCGGCTGTTGGACTGCGAAATACAAACCAACGCTGTACAGGCGCATTGGATACCACAGTGTACTACGGAGTCTCCTCCTTGACTGTTCTCTACTTGTGAGCTAATCAGCGGCAAATTTGTGGCGCGACGCGGACAAGAGGAGCAGTGCGACGGGCGCAATGCCCACGGGCCACAGTAGCCCAAGCGAGAGGAGCCAAAACCTACAGGTATCCATCAGTACTTAGTACTAGTAGAGACGAGCGAGGAGGAATTACCCTTGCCAGAGCCAAGCGAGCGCGATCGTGCACCACGTCGTGCTCCACCTACGACCAATTTGTGCCATTTCCATCCGATGTGAGAGGCAGCCTACCCCATGGCCAGGGCAAGGACCAGCCGGTTGGACGGGCGGACGCTCAGATGAAGCGGACCCATGGCCGACGGGACAAAGAGGGTCGTGTCAAGATAATGCTTGAGGATGCCGTAGTAGCCGAGGCACGAGAGTGCCAGCCCCAGGCCGCGCCACCCCATCGTCTGCCAACGCTACAATAGCATGTTCCATGCCAGTGTCATGAAAACAAGCAGGGGATGTGGCGTCGTACGAGTGATGCCTGGGCGTGGTACAGCATCGTTTCGGCCGGCACGAGGCCGTCGTGCACGAGCGCAATGGGCACACCGCCAGCGCTCGTATAGGGCACGAGCGATCCGCGGAGCGCCATCGCAAGGATGCTCACCTACGAGCAATTGCGTTGATTCCGAGAAGACTGAGGCCGCAGGCGTCTACGCGCTTGGCCGGCGTCACAGCAAACGACACCCGGAGGTCACCGATCGCACTGCGGTGCGGGCGCGGCTCGTTCTTGCGCGGGCGCGACACGAACGCGGTCTCCGCGTCGATAAACATGTCGACCAGCGCCGGAATGGATTCCACGGTCTGCGCAGGATGCGATGAGCAATCGAATTCCGGGCAGCGTTGTACATTTTGTACCTGCGGCGTATGCAAGGTCAAGTCAAACACCGACTCCATCTGGAGAAGCGAGCGCTGGTCGAGGCGGATCGGCTCTGTCGGCGTCGATATCAAGTCGACGATCGCACGCGAGAGCACGTATGTCTCGACGTGCAACGACGGGTGCGTCGTCTACTGCAAGCGTCCATGGGCTGCTACACGAGTCGAGAGACAGCGCACCTTGCGAGAAGTATACGGCCATAACGTCGGGTTGCTGTAGCTGCGGTCGTCAAAGCGGTCGCTGTAGATCGGCGACTCGCTCCACACCTCTTCGTACGAGTACGTCACGTCCTTCTTCTCTTCGCCGTCTTCCCAGTACGTGTGGTCGTGGCGGGTCTCTACTCGCATGCTAGTATGGCTGCTCGTCGAAGAAGGAGATATTACCTCGCCACTGGTACATCTCGACGGTCCGATGCAAATGGACGCCAGCGACCGCGATGCCAAACTCACGGT